CACCTACAGTCACAAAGAATGATTATTCAACTATTCTTTCTCAGCTGAGCCACTCATCCTGAACAGAAATGCAAATATGATGAAATTTTTGACACAAGAATTTTGGGGTAATTTTAGTCCAGCATAAGGCTCCAAAATACATGTGAACAGCCATCCAGCATTCCTGAGCTTCTGTAACCAGAGGAAATTATGAAATAAGAGTCCCAGATGTTCACAAGTATTTGGTATGTGTAGTGATTGTTATTTTATTTGTTAGAATAGTATTTTAAATGCTAAAGACATTGTCGTTTCTGGTTTTTAGGCTGCAGAAGAGGGGAATCTGTGATCCTACATTGATGAAATTGTAAAATAATTCTAAAATAATATATACAGAGTATATACAATATATACAGTATACTATATACCAGTGATGGCGAACCTTTTAGAGACCGAGTGCCTGCCCCCCGCTTGCCCACAGGGCCACCCCCCCGCCTCCATGGCCCACCGCAGATCATCCAGGCAGCCCAGTAGCGCCATGGCAGTCCTCCCTCTGCCCGCGCCCTGCAGCATCAACTGCGCAATGGGGCGCAACGGCGGAGTCTTGTCCCCGCTGCCCAGCTACCATGTCCTTGGCTGTGCTGCTCCGTATGGGCCGTGCTCGGGGCAACTCTCCTCTGGGGGGGGCTGCTGGTAAGGAGGGGGCCGTGGGGGAGGCCGGGCTGGGGCAACGGCACGGGTGCCCACAGAGAGGGCTCTGAATGCCGCCTCTGGCACGCGTGCCATAGGTTCGCCACCACTGCTATATACATTATATATACATTATATACAGTATATATAGTATAGGTGAAACAGTCCCCTCTGCCCCACTCCTCAGATGCATGTATTTTGGGTGACATAACTACAAATGTATTTATCAGGGAGCATTCTGATACATAGAATTTCCTTGATATTAAAAAAATCTATCATATAATGGAAACTAGATTCTTTCTGATCTCTTTGCATTAAACTATGTTATGTGTTACTATGTTGAGATATTGCATATATTTCTTTACAGAACTAAAGGCTGCAAATTTAAATGCTTCCTTAAAAAGCCGTAATCTATAATTCATAAAATGTAGACGAACATGTCTTTTACCATTTTAATGCTACTTAAAGATTTTATTACTACTTGCCAACTTACAAGGCAGTTATGTGAAGATGAAGCATTTTTAACAAATGGAACTGAACAATTCTGAGTGATTTACACATAAAGATGTATAGTTTGGCAGTGTACATTACAATACACAAGGAATAAATAGCTTTCTTTCACTTTTATTTTATTTTATTTTATTATTTTATTTTATTTATTTTATTATTTTATTTTATCTGTTCTATTTATTTTGATTTATATGGCTGCATACCTTAGTATCATGATTCTGGGCAGTGAACAACAATTAAAAACACAACAAAACAGTAAATACATAATCAGCAGCTATGACAGAACCCACAAGTATCAGCATAACCATCTCCCATGAATTCCAACCCCATGTCCAGTGATAATAATAATAATAATAATAATAATAATAATAATAATAATAATAATAATAATAATAATAATAATAATAGTAAAGTTGGAAGGGACCTTGAAGGTCATCTAGTCCAACCCCCTGCTCAGGCAGGAAACCCTATACCATTTCGGACAAATGGCTGTCCAGTCTCTTCTTAAAAACTTCCAGTGTTGGAGCATTCACCG